GGTTGAATGCCGCAAACTGGAAACCTACGCTTCGTACTTCAAGTTTGGCAGGTGTGTTGGAGGCCCGAAGCTTGAATAGTTCAGATGGCGAGTTTTGCTGCTGAGGAGTTCTTGGCCTGCGGTTGTTAGGGCTCAGTCTTGCTAAACCTTACGACCCTTACAGAATCCTTTCGGCATTCATTCTGCGGGGCAGTTGTCCAGCAGCCACTGACCTGAAGTGCTTTGACGACGTTACCATAAGGCGAAATTCCAGATCAGCACAAAGGCAGCATCTGCGGTCGAAGAGCCCAAGCAAAGTCTGCCGGAATCAGGGGTCCTCGCAAAATTAATGGGCCAGCTCATCCCTGAAACAAAACAATCGCAGAAAGAGAGCTTCGAAGGCTTTCACACTCATGAAACCCTAAACCTGTGACCCAAAATCCCGGACCCTCGACCCAAACCCCAACGCGCTCGCCTGGCTCGCTCGGTGCACCTTGTGGCGCTTGGATAAAAATCGGCCCAGCATGAGCTGCCTCTCGCGGATGTCTCTCTAGCCATGTCATTCGCGTAGAAAGTCTGCTGTGAAGATGTCAGTTTTAGGGGCTTGAGGCTATCATGGGCTGAAGAAGCACAGGGATGCAGAGCATTGCGTAGTCAAGCAGTGTCCGGATTACGAAAGCACTTGACTTTGTGGGGAGCCTCCTGCCTTATGAGGTTACCACATCAGAGAATCTATAGTAAATACTACAAGTATGGTTTCTTTGTTATGCCAAAGCCATCCACCCTGAACCGCGGAAGTTTTTTCGGACGCATATTTGCGCATTGCCCGGTATAGCATATATTATCATACTGTGTACATATATGTGATTTTAGACAACTCAATAATATTCAATATAGCAGCTAGTTGTATGTATGTCTATGACTGCAACAACCGGCTCCCCTTCAAGCACTCCGCCTTGAGGCGGCTTGTCGTCGGCTCATGGTTTATTAGGGTTTGCGCCATTCCAACAGCTGCCGGGGTTTTGGGAGTAAGGGGGTTGAATGCACTGAAATGCGAAAGGTCCGAATTTTCAAAACACCTGAACCTTCTCCCCCAAATCCCCAATCACCCCTGAACCCATAAGCCTACACCCAAAACTCCACCGCCTCTTTGGCAGCCTTTGTGTTGCGTTTGCTGAGCGAACCGACCTAGGAAAGGGCTCCCCATATTTTACACTTGCACATTTGCGGCCATTCTCCCACAAAGCGCGGCTTTCAGGCGTTCACAGCTGGGTAGTTCTCTAAAGTAGGGTCCCTTTTTTTGGGTCCCCAATATAATACGGCACCTTTACAGGTATAAAACGGACCCTGAAAGGGACCCTAATTTAGAGAACTGCCGGACTACTCTTCCAATCCTAAGGTCCTGAACCCTAAGCCCGAAGACTCTAAACATTCCTCGCGGCTTGCAGGGTCTTCGAGGAGTGCGGGGTCTGCAGGGCCTGCGGGTAAAACGGTGCCGGGGGTTGGGTTGCAGGTTGGGTTTTAACTGTCTGGTGGGGCTTAAGGTTGTGGATTTAGGAATATGGTGAGGTTTTGAGCTTCCAAGCTTGTCGGGCGTTGCTCCCGGCATGGGTAGAATGGCCCTAAGCCTTACTTAGCCCCAAAGCCCCAAGCCCCGAAGCATGGAGCCATAAACACGAAACCGTCAAATCCAAAGTCCAAAACCCTGCTAATTTCTGAAAGTCAGAAACCGCACGAGCGAAAACCTGAACCCTAAACCCTATAAGCCCAAAGGGGCCAAGGCCCCCTGCGAGCATGCTGATTTCATGGTCCCGGAGGGCCACCTGGACATTCCGTAACACAGCTTTCAGTTTAGGGTTTCGGGTTTAGGGTTTAGGGTAAATTCAATTGTAATAAGAAACACTACGCATACAATAGTAATCACAAAAAAGACCACGGGTGCACGGGATTTACGGTTGGGCATGACACGGTTTGCAGCATGCCGTGTAGCTGAGTGATCGTAAGGTACACAGCGGCGGTAGAATTAACACAGAACATCACAGAACATATGCGATACGGTCTGTCAGGACTACATGAAAACTGCGACAGCAGTACGATGACGTATAACCACTCGAACAAACACAAGCCTGCCTGGTTGGGTTTGGGGTTTACGCTCGTACAACTCGGCACAGATGAGGTCAGGGTTTACGGTTGAAGGTGGAGTGTCCCCCAGGAGATGTCCATCCCCTTGCCTTGTCCAGCCCCAGGCTTGCCAAATGCTGCATGAACCCTGAGCTCATCGATCGAGTTCGTCAACCGGATACCGCGGTCATCCAGGATAGTACAAACGGTCATGATGCATGTTGGCACGAGCCACTACTCCTACATCTGTCAATGAGGGAAGCATAACGATGTCTTTGGAGACTTGCGAGAGAGTGGGACGTGCTGGAGGCCCTGATGATCAACTGTTGTGCATGTGTTCTGGTGATTTCTTCGTGTGTTTCTGCTTACGACTTGCGTGTGTCTTCGTCTAAAAAGGAACAATTCTCGGAAACATGCGATGCCGTACTTCATCCTTTGCCACCCTGCTTGCAAACTGCATTCCCGGTAAACAAGCAGAGTCGACGTGCATCTAGCCCAGCCAGTACGTTGCAGCAGTGCGCACACCATGTACCGGACACCTGATACATATTTTTGGCGAGATTTGAGCTGACAATTTCAACTCGCTTGAAACGTTTCCAGTACCTAAGGTTTGTACACTGGGAGTCTTATTTCGGGATAGAGCCGTGCCTCCTGGCGCAGCTGGTGGAGCGTCATCTCCAAGTTAGACAGCTTGCCTGCAAGGCACGGTAAATGCAGGCCGAAGTGAAAACTGAGCGAAGGTTTGGGTTTTCTCCCACCACCAAGCTGACCAAGTCGCCCGGTAAAGTTTGTTTATAGGGTGTGGGGTTGGCGTTTGGACCTGATACAGGCAACGCTATACACTAAACCCTTTTGCAACTGGCCCAAACCCCCAAACCCCTAAACCTTAAACCCGTTTTTCTCAAAACCCTCTAAACCCCTAAACCCTAAACCACACGACAGTCAAGCGCAAGCCCAGGAGTCCAAGCAGGCCGAAGCAAGCGCCAATCCGCAGATCGCCAGTGCCAGTGCGCACGCGAAAGGGGAGAAGCCCCCTCCCCCAAACTACCCATGGGGTAGGGTTTAGGGTTTAGGGTTTACCCATGGGGCCCTAAGTAGTTCCTTTGTGTGGTTTATATTTTGAATCCTGTAAGGTTATAAACCTCAAAAGGAACTACTTAGGGGACTGTGGGTAGGCACCCCTAACTTTACTTGTCCGGGCCTTTCCGTGTTTCTCCCCCAAGGTTCGGGGGCTGCCTTTCTGACCTTCGGTGCCGGGGATTGAAGTTCTTCTGAACTTGGTACAGGGCTCTCCTAGGGAATCTTATGGTGAATGATTCGGGCTTCTGTATGGCGTGGGAAGGAGATCGAATGACATGAATCTCGCCTGGTTTGACGACACATCCGAAATCGTTCACGGCGGACGGTTGGACGGAAGGATCTGCAAATACTGTGAATCTGAAGCTGAGGCTCATTTCGTGTTTAGGGCCTTGCCAATCTTTAGGGCTAGAGGACCCTAAACCCTAAACCCTATAAACCCTAAGCCCTAAACGATTCTAGGGTTTCCTCAACCCTGACCCCTGTCGGTGTGCAAAGGCTGGTGCAGTTGCGAAGAGGTAACGGCAGGAAAGTTCCACAGGCCTTACTAGCCTCACTATTGCGCTGCAGGGTGCAGGGTTAAGCGCTTAGGCCGCTGACAGGGTTTACTATGAACCCTTCTATTTGCTTGCTTCGCCTTAGCACGTTTTTCCGTTCGAAGATCACACCGCGAATTGAAAAAAAAACACCAACCCAGGCCTTGACTTGACTGAATGGAAGATGTCCGGTAAGCTTCGCTGTATCCACACCGATCAGCCAGGCAAAATACATCGATCCTAAAAAGCAACTGGAAGTTCTTAATCTCATATCGTTCTTACGGTTCAAGCAGCCAATTGCAGCTTCAACTGGAGCGGTCCAAAAGCCGGGCGGTCTTTGCTTCCTTGCCACCTCCCTAGTTTCAGCAGTGTCGCGCAAGGTTCAGGGATTGTCCCCTGCTGGGACCAGCGCGAAACCTGTCCGCCCTAAGCCTGTGATACGCAACGAAAGATCCAAGGGCATTCCTGTACAGCTAATCATTAATCGCGACTGAAGCACCGTCTTTCTAGTGGCACCTTTGTGCTGTCCCACGATTGACCCGCAACCACCATCACTGTGATTTCCAGTCTCGGCAACATCATGATCATGATGATGATGATGATCATCATCATCATCTTCAGCATCAGCGTTGTCATCATCATCATCATCATCATCATCCAGCAATGCAGCCACCACCACTACCACGGCCACCAACTCCGCAGCAGCCCCTTACAGCGGTCGTCGCCACCACCAGCCGGCCCCACAATCATCCATCTAAGAGTTTAAGGTCAGGATCTAAGTACATTGGCGGACCCATGCAGTCACTCAAAATTCGTAGGACCAGACATAAGGCCAACACAGCGGAACACACAGAAACAGCAACAGCATCAGCATCAATGCAGCAACAACAGCAACGAAGAGCGGGCTACCCACCTCCAACAAAACAGTGACAACGCGATTTTGCAAACAACAGCACGAATACTAACACCAACAACACACCCCGCACCCTCACCTCACCACCACCCTCACCACCCCTGCCATCACCAAGGAAGACAAGAACAACAATAGCCAAAACGACGAGGAACACACCAACAACACCTGCACGAAAACTACAATCACGACGACGACAGACAACGACAACGAAAACCAAAATAATCACTAAAGCAACATCCGCCACTGCAGCCAGTAAAACTGCTACTGTGACTGCTGCTGCTACAATTTTTTTACGTAAGCCGGCGCTTGGGCGATCTTCTGTCAGCTTTCCCTCTGTGCTGAGCCAGTTCAGAAACCAGGAGGCGCGACAACGCCGCCAGCGGAAGACCGACGACCTGTGCTACATTTGGAGGCCTCAACAGGTGGGATTAAGGTAGGTAGGGGTTTAGGGTTTAGGGGTTAGGGTTTAGGGGTTACGGACAGTCTAGGTCTAGGTGTGTTAAGGCAGTAGGGATCCCCAAACCCTAAACCCTAATTGCTTTTGGGACTATCCCCACCTACCCTTCATCCCGCCGTTGGAGTTGGTTACATGGGGTTCTGCTGCAATCAGCAGCTCTTGATGTTGGGACCCCCGAACCCTAAGCCCTTGAAGAGTCTCGCCTTGTACACCGTCACATATTGAGCACAGTTAAGGACAAGCTAAGGGGCATTTTGATAATCGCCGCGGATGCCGGTGACGAGCAAGCTGCCCACCGCCTGCGTTTTGATCAACAAGCAACTAGCAGTGTCGACGTTAAGGTCTTTCTGTGTGGAGGAAGCGTAGCATTAAGCCGGAACGCATGAAGTAAACTGTATGCAGACACATCGCTCAAGAAACGATCATGAGAGTACGTAGATAAGGGCATGCGTGCATATAGCTTTGCACATGTGAAGGGAAATGCTCGGGCTCAAGATCTATGCTTGCATCTTTTCAGCCACCGTGTCTTCTGAAGTTCATCAGCTGCCCGTGCCAGGGACGCATGCAGTGGCTGTAAAGGCCCCTTGAGTATCAGCTGCCCTTGTCGGGGTGGCTCGGAGACGCAAAAAGTGTTGGTTGCAAACACCCAGGCGCATCATGATCTCGAGCTCCAAGCAGCCAGCATCATCAGCATCAGCTGCCCTTGCCGGGGACATAAGTTGTGGCTGCAAAGACCCACCAGCACAGTGGGAAGCAGCTGCTAATTCAGGCCCCGCGCGGCCAGCATCATGAGCATCAGATGCCTCTTGCCGGGGACACAAGTTGTGGCCCGCCAGCATCACAGCCAACCCAGGTCTTCTCCAGCCCCACGATGCCAGCATCATCAGCCGGCGACGCAAGTTGTGGTTGCAAAGGCCCACCAGCATCGGGATTTTCCAGCACCACGCGGCCAGCATCATCAGCATCAACTGCTCTTGCCGGGGAAACAAGTTGTGGCTGAAAAGGCCCACAAGCATCATAAACAACAGCTGCCACCCCAGCACTTAGCGCCGCGCGGCCAGCATCAGCAGCATCAGATGCCCTTGACGGGGACACAAGCTGTGGTTGCAAAGGCCCACCAGCATCATCAGTAACAGCTGCCACCCCAGGGCTTGTCCAGCCCCACGCGGCATTGCTGCAAAGGCCCACCAGCATCATAAGCAGCAGCTGCCACCCCAGGGTTTTTAGCCCCACGCGGCCAGCATCATCAGCATCAGCTGCCCTTGCCGGGGACACAACTCGTGGTTGCAAAGGCTCACCAGTATCATAACGCGGCCAGCATCATCAGCCGGCGACACAAATTGTGGTTGCAAAGGCCCACCAGCATCATGAGCAACAGCTGCCACCCCAGCACTTAGCCCCACGCGGCCAGATCAGCAGCATCAGCTGCTCTTGCCGGGGACTCAAGTTGTGGTTGCAAAGGGCCACCAGCATTATAAACAGCCACCCCAGCGCTTCTCCAGCCCCACGCGGCCAGCATCAGCAGCATCAGATGCCCTTGCTGGGGACACAAGCTGTGGTTGCAAAGGCCGCCCAGCATCATCAGTAAATTCTGCCACCCTAGGGCTTCTCCAGCCCCACGCAGCCAGCATCATCAGCATCGTATGCCCTTGCTGCGACACAAGTTGTGGCTACAAACGCCCACCAGCATCATAAGCAACAGCTGCACCCCAGCCCCACGCGGCCACCATCATCACCATCAAATGCCTTTGCCGGGGACAGCAAAAGATAACCAGCATCATGAACCAACAGCTGCCACCCCAGGGTTTCTCTAGCCTCACGTGGCCAGCATCATCAGCATCAGCTGCCACCCCTGGGCTTCTCCAGCCCCACGCGGCCAGCATCATCAGCCTCAGCTGCCCTTGCCGGCGACACAACTTGTGGTTGCAAAAGCCCACCAGCAGTATAAGCAAGAGCTGCCACCCCAAGGATTCTGCAGCCCCACGCGGCCAGCATCATCAGCATCAGCTGCCCTTGCCGGGGACACAAGTTGTGGCTGCAGAAGCTCATTCTCCAGCCCCGTGCTGTGAAGGCCCATCAGCACCGTCAGAAACAGCTGCTGATTCAGGGTTTCTCCGGCCCCGCGCGGCCAGCATCATCAGCATCAGATGCATCTTGCCGGGAACACAAGTTGTGGCCCACCAGCATCACAGCCACCCCAGGGTTTCTCCAGCCCCACGCGGCATCAGCTGCCCTTGAGTTGTGGTTGCAAAGGCCCGTTATGGTTGCAAAAGGCCCACCAGCATCATAAGCAACAGCTGGCACCCCAGCACTTAGCCCCACGCGGCCAGCATCAGCAGCATCAGCTGCTCTTGCCGGGCATCATAAACAGCCACCCCAGCGCTTCTCCAGCCCCACGCGGCCAGCATCAGCAGCATCAGATGCCCTTGCTGGGGACTCAAGCTGTGGTTGCAAAAGCCCACCAGCATCATCAGTATATTCTGCCACCCCAGGGCTTCTCCAGCATCATCAGCATCGTATGCCCTTGCTGGGACACAAGTTGTGGCTGCAAAGGCCCACCAGCATCATAAGCAACAGCTGCCCTTGAGCTGTGGTGGCAGAGGCATAAGCACCAGGACTTTTCCAGCCCCACACGGCCACCATCATCACCATCAAATGCCTTTGCCGGGGACAGCAAAAGATAACCAGCATCATGAACCAACAGCTGCCACCCGCGAGACAACCCGGCAGGGCCACGCAGAGAAATCCGCGAAAAAATCGTTGCCCAAACAGCCATACCTAGCCCAGGGCTGCTCCAGCCCTACGCGGACAGCAGCATCAGCATCAGCTGCCCTTGCCGGGAACGCAAGTTGTGGTTGCAAAGCCCACCAGCATCGTCAGCAACAGGGCTTCTCCAGCCCCAAGTGGCCAGCATCATCAGCATCAGCTGCCGTTGCCGGGGACACAAGTTGTGGTTGCAAAGGCCACCATTATAAGCAGCAGCTGCCAATACAGTTTGAAGAGTCGGACGCCGATTTTTGCCGCAACGTCGATCAACGAATCCGCCTCGGCCCAACCCTTCTGACTTCTCCATTTTGGCTCCCAGCCTTGCGCCAAACAATCCTAAACCCTAAACCCCTGCCCCCGCTCCCCCCGCCTGCATACGCTCCCTGGTCCCGGCTTTGTGGGGCCGAGGCAGCTGGTGGGGTGAAACGATAACAAATACATGGAGTTTCCGAAAAGAAGGGACCAAGCAAACACTATGAACCCCACTGTAAGGGCCTAAAAAATGAGGTGCCGGCATTTTTGAGAAAAAAAAGCCCATGTAGCAAAGGAGCTTGAAGTTTCCAAGGGTTTCAGGGAGCCGGCCACACTTCTTCCCGAGAAGATGCAATAGGCGGCCCGTCAAATTCTGCACCATACCCTACCTGTAGCCGAAAAGACCTACCCTTTTCGGGCTCCTGATTAGGGTTTCTGTATACAGTTCCTTAGAAAAGTAGGTCTTTGAGGCCAGAGGTACACCTTAACAGCCCCAAGAGCCTTAATAAACTCTTTTTAGCACGGACTGAAGTGCCGGCCAACACCCATGCAACCCTTACCCCTCAGTAAGCCCTAAACCCTAAACCCTAACGTGCAAGAACAAAAACACAGACTCAACAAATGATTCAACCCAAGGTTCAGGGTCCGTCTTGCCTTAAAGCGAGCATGAGGTGCGTCTCCAAACGTAGAGACCCTACATATGGTTCGACTAGGCGGAAGGAAATGGCGTGTTTTCTACCACATGATGCATCTATACAATTAGTAGAGACCCTAAGGAGTAACTTCACTATCTATTCGGGACCCGACTATCAGCCCGTGAACCGTCAAACCGCCCCAAAACCCTAAATCGCCTTAGAAGTACCCCTGTCTCAACCCTATACTACATGTATTGTCGCAACCGGACTCCTCGCTCCGGACCTCCCCACACTAAATCGTCGGGTTTGGGGTTTCAGCCCCCCCCCCCCGTGCAGGAACCCAAGAAAAATCACGCCTGGATGCCGTAGCCTCCGGCTTTGTCAAAGGGTTCCCCGGTGGCGATGTAGGCCTTGAGCTCCTGGAAAAACTGGGAATACAGGGTTTTGTAGTCACGGTTCAGGGCCAGGGTGTCGGATTTCTGGGTTTATTCATAGATTGTCTAGGGTTTAGTGTGTGCTTCCGTATTTTTATGTAGCCTCCATAGGTTTCTTTTCAGAAAATTTCTTGCAAGCTTTAAAAAGGGCAGGGCCAAAGGGACTATGGGTTCTCGTATAGGAAACTAAACCAAATTGCCACAAGAGGGGTTCCCCACCAGAAACACTCGGAGGCTGAACTTTCCAGCCCCAAAAAATCTTAACCGTTTAAATTGTAGTCGAAATTACATAAGCCGTTAAAGCTTCAAGGCTGCCTGCTCAGCCTCTAAGACATAAAGATCTCTGTCTTAAGGGTCTGGGATTTCGAGTTTGGGTTTCAGCATTCACACTCGGACAAGCCTGGGCGAGGTTCCTGGCACGGGGCGAGGAACGCTTTGCTTCGAGGGCCGGCACATGTCACCAGTCAAGCGTTAACGTCTTAGACTACACCTTAGCCATCAGTGTTGTTCAAGCGTAACTGTACACCAAATCACTGCAAGCTCACTCGCCCACTTCGCGCATTGTCAGGCTTTCAAACTCGAAATGTCAATGCAGGTCATCAACCGTTGAGGTATCTCGGGCTCCTGTTGTTGCTGTGCCCATGTATGGAACCATGCTGACCAAAGACGCTCTCCGTGAATGCAGGCATGTATTAGGGTTTAGGGTTTTGAGGCCCCGATGGTTAATTATAAGTTGCCAAGGCCCAAGGACTCGCATTCAGGGATTACCCTAAATCCTAAACCCTAATTGGGGGGTCTATGACTTTTTCGGTTTGAAGCGCCGCGGCTCCGGATCGGAGGTCGCTGCTCAGGTTCTTGCGGTACGCGCTGATTTCGGCTTCGGAGGATCACCAACCACAGCCCGGCATGCGAATGTTTCAGACACATGCTGGCAAAAAAGGACTGTAATTGAGGGTATGGTAGCATAGGGCTTTTAAGGGCATAGGAAAGTGCTTACACCTAAAGCCGTCAACGCACAAGACCAAGTTTAACTTACGTGGAGAGCTTCCTATGGATAAAGAGAAACTGCAAGCGGTTGAGCGCTGCTAACTTAAGCCATATTTGGGGTTGTGCTCCGTGTAGGCTCTGACTGGCGTTCAAGTCAGAATACTTTTCACGGTCCCTTGTTGCAGTAAGCACATTTTGAGACAGGTAACCGCAGGGACAATGACTGTCACGACTCGTATTCTCGGTTTAATTTGATGCATGTGGCTTGTGATGGCGTTCAACGACTTTACGACCTTTATACCGGAGACCATTCGGCGCAGTTGTGTGTGGATGTTTCGAGAGTGTGGTACGGCGAGGATGATCCGAAATCCACAGCAGGGCTGAGCCTAGCTGCTTCAGCTCAGGGATATGATTTTACTATACTGACAAATGCCAATAAATCGGAGATTCTATGCTGTGTAACACAGGATAAAACAAGAAAAATATTAACTGCAATGTAGTATAACAAAATAGTGTAATGTTTTGAAACACCACGCAACAACATAAAATAATATTGATACACGAAGAAAAGATAGCTTAACATAATGTGGCATATTATGATGCAGCATATAAGTCAACACACTATAATGAATCTCCATGCATGTAGTCCCACGTGCAGCCGCATCCCACGTCCTGGACAGGCCTAGTTCTCAGTCCTAAACCCCAAAAAGTTCGCTTGAAGCCTTGACCCTTCTGTCAAAAGCTCAAGACAAACTTCTCAAAGCTCCATTATCCTTTGATGAGGGAATCTGTTACTGAATTTGCTAATGCTGGGCCTTGAACGATAATGACTAGCGACCGTGTGAACTATCTGACAGCCTGTGCCTAAACTCTAAACCGAAGCTCCTTCCATTTTCCATGACAAAACCACAGAGTACCATGTGCCCTGTGGCCTACGTCCTACGTTGACCCCAAATAGCTTACCTTATTGAAGACCTATAGATTCGCGAAATCATAATCATGCACCCGGCCCTAAAAGGGTAGGGTTACAGGCTTCAGGTACAACCTTGATAAACACTTGGAGCTACTGGTAGAGCTCCTCGTCTGAGCTGTCGGCGAAGCAGACGGTAGAGACTTCCTGAGCTGATTATGCCAGGTGGGGGGCTTTAATGTAGAAGCATGAATTTGCCAAGTTCGCATCGAACCCTGGACATTGAACTGCGGATTTTTGGACTGCGACGGGTCGGACGTGGTCACGCGTGGTTTCGTGTCCTGAACTCGTCCTTTTTGCAATAATGCCGTGCATTGTGGGATGTGGCTCATGCTTCCGCCTTCCCAACTCGCGACGAAGTCGTCCTGTCGCCCCCAATCGTGCTCAAGCTCTTCGCCGCGATTGCATTTGGAATTCATGGGCTGGTCTTGGGACCCGGAGGGGTGCTCCTGAACGGTTCTTGGTATGTACAACCCTAAACCCTTAACCCTGAACCCTCGGCCCTAAACCCTAAACCCTAAATCCCAAGCCCTAACCCATTTGGAAGGGCTATGGCGAGGATTCTTGGGTATTAGGTTAGGGTTTGGGGTTTTGGGTTGAGGGCTTAGGGAGAGTGTTACAATATCCGAGTACTCGCTTTCTATGTTTTTTGGTGGGCTTCAGACATTTCTGAAACTCCCCAATGGATAGAGGGTTGAAGGATTCAAGGCTTAGGGTTTAGGGTTTAGAGGTTTGGGTCTGCTCTTGTTAAAATGACTTGGGCAGCCGAGCATTTAGGGGTTAGCGTCTAAGGTTTGTGGGTCTAAGTCAGGTCAGCTAAGCAGCGGAATATTCGGTAAATGCCGCCAGGGTTTCCTCAAACATCTCCAATATTTGGTAATGTGAAAAGTTAAGCTGCTGTGCTACTATGAGGCGTACTCAGCAGGACAAGACTGGTCAGCAAAATGCTGACACAATGTACCAAAGAGGGGCTAAGGTTTAGTTTAGGGTTTAGGGTGTACACAACAGTGTATTTCACACAGATCGGAACCACGAGACGTTCATTGGACACCTGAATGAAGCAAGGTGGAAGGGTGTATGCTGAAGCAAACATACACTCTCGGAGCCATGGTTGTCGACGCACTTCTTCACCCATGGTTTCGGTGGTCTGAGTTCGGTGTACCAGACATGGATCCCTTAAGCTGACTGGTTGTTGAGACTCATGTTCAAGGCCGAATCTGCCGACATCTGAAACGGAAGCCAGTGGCACAAATAGCGACGGGATCTTCTGACCCAGCCACAGATATGGCCACACCAGTCATCACCTCAGCAAGCTAGTTGCTGCATGGCCTTACTGCACCAACACGAACAACCGTGCTGCAAGGCTTTAAAAAGCCCACAGATGTGTCATCGCCTGGTGTTCACGGCCCCTCAGCGACTGAAGCATCTGGAGGGCATGCTCCTCGTCCTTGCAACATGCGTTCACTCTCACGGTCTTCCTTGAAGATTCCTTTGGTGTACACTCTTTTCTGGACCAAACTCCTGTAAACGGAGTTCGGAGACTTGACCCTCTCTCTCTAAACCCTGAACCTCACGACCCTACACCGTCTCATGATCTTCAACTCTGAACCCTTAATGAAATGCCGAAGTTATGAGCCCGACACCCAGGTGGCCGAACGCCCTGAATGAATCCTGCGCAAATTGCGGTGGTCCGGTTTTCCTGGGGCTTCTCCAAGATGGTCTCACCCAGGACGACAACAGTGTCAGAACCTGGCTTCGCAACGATTTTGGCCATGCGCACCTCCTTCAACGAATCAGCTGTTTAGGTGCAGGGTTGCGGGTTACAGCATGGGATTTAGGGGCTGGAGTCCAAGGTCCAACATGTCTGGCTCAAGGCTTGAAATTTAGGGGTGTGGGCGCTCTGATGATTCGGGGCCCCGACTTTGGAGAAAGGAGTTGAGTTACCTCAGAAAGGCTCCGTGCCCTCCGTGTATCTTGAAGTAGGCCTCGCATCCCCACAGGCTGACAGCATCCGAGCGGCCAATGACGATTCCAACCTTCCTTTCCATCTCATCGGAAAGGGGGTGCCTGGGGTGGGCGAGCTTCATGACCACCTGCACATGGGCACAAAGAAACCGGACAAAAGTCACAGCCGCCCAACGGTAATCCAAATTTATTTTTTGGGCGACAGGCATATATAGTGCTTGGGCTTGACATGAACACTTGTCTACTCTAACTTGTTTTGCCAACGCCAGCTCGGACAGCTCTAGTGTCGAGTTTAGGGGTCCAAGTATTACGACAATTGGTCAGCTGTGCTTTGACATGCGAGAGCCAGAAATTGAGAATGAGATGCTGCACATCACGCCGCCTCCGCGCATTTGATGCGTGCATTTGCCATGACGTACCTAGGTGCAACGAAACAGCCGTTTGAAGTAACATTCCGTTTCCAAGTGCTTGAATGGTATACACTTAGGCCACGAGTTTTCAAACGAAAGGACATTGAAGCGAACATGAGCGCTAGTAGATAGTTTGATTCGGGTGCGATTTAATTTCGACTTCGAGCTTCCATGCCCCAGAGATGCAAGCTCTAAAAAGGAAAGAAATGGAAGTGCGCCTAGACGTAGCCAATGGGGCAGAGAAATACAAACCTCAACCCTTGGTCGCAAAATCTTGGATTCTGCTTGCGCTCTCAAGAATCTATCTTTTTGAGGACTTATAGGAGGAAATCATGATAAGGAGCCTTCGAACAAAAAGTAGGACTTTTTTTGGGGGGGGGGGGTCTCCGTAAGCCCAAAGCTTTGATTCGAGCTTCGATGCTCCGACTCGCAAGTTGCAAGCTTTAGGGCAGAGGGCTTCGACCCGCCTTAGTTTCCCTGAATATATAAAAACCAAATATACTAAAGGGCTAGGCTTCTAGGATGTCGGGATCAGACAAGGCCGAGCGACTGGAACCCTGAACCCCAAAGGGGGAAAAAAACGATGCTTTTTGATGCTTCTGCAACTTCCAACCTGCAGCTGCTGCCGCACCGCACTTCAAAATCCAAAAACAACCGCTGCCCAGGCCCGGACCTGCGGTTAAGGTTTAGGGCTTAGGGTCTAGGGTTTAGGGTTCAGGAAACCAGCCGAAGTGGTACTTTTAGAAATGCAGGGCCCAAGTTGCTCCCGTGGCGTGTATTTTGACTTATCCAGGTCCTGGCAGCGAGGCACCCCCGAGAAGGACCCTTGTAGTCCCTGTCTAGTAACATGACCCATAATCCTGCACTAATTGAAAGGAAACCTCTATTATGGGGAACTTGAGCTGCCTCGCCACTGCACCTCGGAAACCAGAATTAGGCCGCTAAGCGGTTCTCGGGGCTACTTGGTTATTTTGTAAGGAGGAGAGAATAGATTCCAAACCCCAAACCCTTAAGCGTTCCGGGGATTCTCACTCCGAGACAACTCAAAAACCCAACGTCGTAGGTCACTCGGGGTTTGTTTCTTCTGGTTGCTGTCCAGACTTCGCTAGGGTTCCCCGGAGTGAGAAGTCGGAATTCGGGATGTTAGTTTAGTACCACGACGACGACGACGACGACGGCTACTGCTACTGCTACTGCTACTGATGCTGATGCTACTGCTACTGATGCTGCTACTACTACTATTACTAATAATAATAATACGACGACGACGACGACTACTACTACTACTCCTGCTGCTGCTGCTGCTGCTACTACTACCACCACCACCACTGCTACCACCACCACCACCACCACCACGACTGCTACTACTACTACTACGACGACGACGACTATATATTACTACTACCAGTACTACTGCTGCTGCTGCTGCTCCTACTGCTGCTGCTGCTCCTGCTGCTCCTGCTGCTGCTGCTACTACAACCACCGCTGCTGCTACTACTACTACTACTACTTCTACTTCTACTTCTACTTCTACTACCACGACGTCGAGGACGACGGCCACTACTGCTACCTTAAAGCGTGCCCTTTCACGGGCTTTCAGACCTCGCACATCTCTTTCCACATGCTGTACTGTTCATGAAGTTCACGGGTACTACTGCTACTCTCCCTCCTTGCATCACTTGTTTCGGTTGGGGCGGAGAGTCAGGTACCGCTTCTCAGGGAATCGAACGTCGCACTCACACCAGGTGCGCAAGGATGACTACGACTGGGCCATCTGCTGTAAAGTAGTGGATTCCTGCACCCAGCGCCTTCTCTGCCCCATCCGTCAAATGACAACCGAGCATTCCACGCTCAAACCCGTGCTGCTTAGGATTTTGGGCTCTAGGGTTCTTATGATTCAGTATGGGGCACGTGGTGAGTCGAATCTAAACGGGAAGCGCACCAGACAGGATAAGCTACAGCTAAACCATAAAATCTATAATAAACTCTGCCTCCTAATTAATTCCTATCCTCAAGCCCTCGCCCTCAAGCATCTCGATTAGGACTGCTGAGACCGTCTCCTCAGCAAACTTTGGCTTGATGACATCGAACGGCAATCCTTGTGCTCGGGATTGCATCCAGGGGTTGAAATTTACGGCCTCTGGGTTTGAGGTTCGAACTCTCGCAACTCGGGGACCGATAGCCGTCGCCCCCACCAGTGGATATGATAAATGCACCCACTGCGGATAGAACTCGGGAGTCTCTCCCAGCTGCATCCAGCAGGAATTATTCTAACGTATTGATCAGCAGGAATACCTCACCGATATACTTCGTCAGCACCGTGGCTTCATGGTAGCAAGTATAGGCAGATATCGTTGAAATGCTAGTGCTGCTATTTCTCCTGCTGCTGTTGATACTACTGCTGCTGCTGCTTACCTCCTTCACTATCTGTCATATCGCTGTCATGCTTATTTCTACTGTTGTTAGGTTTGATGCTGCTGCTAGAACAACAACTTCTGCTACTGTTACAACTGCTACTACTTCTACCTCTACTTCTACGACGATCACGACGACTCACCACCACCACTAGAACTGCCAGCGCCCCTCCTCCTCCTCTGCCTCCTCCTCCTGATGCCCCTCCTCCTCCTACTGCGGCTGGCGCTGCTGCTGTTGCTGCCGCTGATGTCTTTGCCTGTACTATTCCGTCGTTATTACAACGTGCAGGCGCAAAAAAAAAATGCTGCCTGAAGAAGGTTCGTTGCAGCCGAGCCTCCCAAAAGTCCTAGGATCTCTTGCCGCCGCGGGCTGCTTGAAGCCAAGACGATGCGGCAGTTTTCCTTCATCCATGGCACCTGCCATATCGCTGCAGAGGATTGTGCGGCTCTATAGAGCGTATGCCCTCCACTTGAGGAGGCCTCTAGGACCTTTGAGCATTATCCATGACATGCTCGAATCACTAAATCTGAACTGTTTAACCTATGTATCATCATAAGATCCAGCCACCGTTGTCTTCTCAGTACAAGAAATTGCAGCAACAGCAAGTGGAAGGTGGTCTCAACAAGGCTCAACGGACTGCGGCTCTTGATGCACCTGTAAGGGACCCCATCGAAACGATCGAAGCCGAACCAATGCTTCCACCGGCCAAGGCAGCCTGCCTCCAGAAGAACTGAGGCCATCGGCTGAACCCTGAAACAGACCCGAAACCAGAGACAGTAGAACGTTGTTCTCCACACTGCTAGCTTCGGAGTCTGCTTGGCCGGGTAGAAATGACGAGTCTGGCTACATTGGCTACATGAACAGACGGCCGGACCGTCTCGGGCTTTTTTAGTCCTGACTATTATGAACTGAGTATTCGCAAGCCCACAATGTGGATCTGCAGCGACTACCAAGGTTGTTTCGCAACCACCCAGCATGAATGTACACTCCTCCTGACGTAAACCTCGAACCCCGATGGATTCAAGCATCTATTCTGCGGCAAAGCGTTGAAGCTGGTGCTGCGGCACAGAGCATTCTAGGCCCCATGGCCCCTGCAAGTCAATTCTCCACAGCCTCAAAAGATCCTCAAAGCATGCAGGGCATGGCCAAACAAAAACCAAACACCAAACCGGAAGGTGAAACTTGGATGCCACCCGGAGTAACCAACATCCGCCAACAGCAAAACCGTCGAAAATGACTGCACATAGAGGTAACGTTTCTCATCTTGGAATACCGCAATGTGGGCATCGCTTCGGTCAGTGTCGCTTCCGAATGCTCGCTAACGCGCAACCCTCCATAACATGTGCGTCCCAAACCCCGATCATGGCAACCAGAAAAGCTTACCTTTCCACGCTGGATTTTTTGGCTTCATATCGGGTTTCCCGTGTGTTAGGAAGGGAAAGCCTGCACCACAGGAATAGGGTCTTGAGGTATGTGAGGATCCGGTGCTCAGAGCTACTAAACCCTAAACCTATATTAGTTCTTTGGTTTCCACACGCCCGTGAGACCAAAAGCACCCTCAGCCAAGGAAACCGTACTACAGTATAATGCAGTATGTAAAGTCTAGTCTAGTCTAGTCTAGTCTAGTCTAGTCTAGTCTAGTCCAGTATCGTATAAGATAGGATAGGATAAAACACTTTACTATACTGTACTATACTACACTACACTATACTTTACTATCCGAATTGCGGTAAAAAGCCATACTATACCATACTATAGCAAATAAAGTGCAGTATACTATAGTATGGCATAGTATAAGATAGTATAAGATGGAATCAAGTAAAACATAGTCTAGGAGCTCCACGAAGCGAAAGCCCTGAGCGCAACGCCCCGGGGTGGAACCCTTAGATTCCCAGTACACTTCACCTCGGCGTTGGTTTAGGGTTTGGGGGTTTGGGGGCTTGCAGTTTAGGGTTTAGGGGTTTGCAGGTGGGTCGTTTCTGTTGGTATGTTGTCAGGATCTTTTAGGGTTTAGAGTTGTTTTCCCCACTCGCATGGCCAAGGGGTTGCGTGTTTTAGGTCTTCTAACTCATGGAACTTACAGGGTTCTTATGGAACTTAGAGGGGCTCTTCTCATTGGCATGGAACTTCTAGGGTTCCTTCTCTGGCTTCTTGAGGTTCTGGAAGGTTTGGAGGAGCAGGCTTGCATCGTCTTGCAGGGTTGCGCCGGATCTGTAGTAAGGGCTTTTTTTTGTGATTGATACTTGTTGCAGCAATGGGCCTCATGGGCTTAGGGTCCTGTCCGGTTTTGCTTGTCAAGCTTTTGGGGTAGGGTGCTGTGGGACGTGCAGATCGATATATAAGTGTGGAGGGTGGGTTCTCCTTCAAAGTCTCACACCGCAACAAAAAAACCAAGCACCCATGCTAGTTTATGCCCGAACCCCAAACCCTGAACCCTGTTATGCCGAACATCATGAAGCTCGAAAGACTCAACAGGTAAGGTGCCACCCAGGGCTTCACCCTATGGCTCAAGGGAAACACCACTCCTGGAATTCCGCCCTAACGAAACCCACAGTTGAAACCCAAACCCCAGACCCTAAGACAAAGTCGGACTCAAATCCGTCAAAATAGCAACAAACTCCAGGCAGCTTGCCCATCCCAGAACAAACGAATCTTAGCACCGTGCGGAGCATTCGAAAGCATTCCTGGCCAAGTAGGCAGAAAGTCTCTGCTGAGGTTTGGAATACAAAAAGAAAGACTCAAATCTTGGACTGTGTTTCGGAGCAGTGCAGCAGGAAAATATGAACGCCAAGAATCGGGGGCACTCAGGTTTCACTGTTTTTTGAAGGATTCTTAAAACACAGCGGTCCAAAATCAGAACCCTAAACCCTAAACCCTAAACCCATGTGAAAAGACCCAAGCCTGAGCCTTAAAACCTAAACCCCGATCTCCACACTACCGGGGCTTCTTGCGCCTTAACGAAACATCGGCATTCTCTTATTTTGATTCGGGAAATTCCTTTCTTAGAATAAGAAAAACCATTTCTCGTCAGGGAAATAGGGAGTTCTTATTCAGAATAAGAAAACGAGCCCTCAGCATCAGAGAGAACAAACCCCGAGCACTACCCAGAAGGCCCATAAGAAAGAAAAAAAACAACAATGCACTGAAACCTCGTCATCACAACCCTTCTCCTCTCCTCTCTACAGGGGAATCGAGGGGAATCCTGACCCTAAGGACGCGTTGTAAAGGAGACCTCAGTTCGACGCGAGGGTACCTGCTTGAAGGACAGCCCCGAAGCCCAAACCCTAACCGCTGCCCCAGAAATCCCACACTTTTCTTGGTTTTTCGGGCAGAGGGCTTAGCTGTAAAGTCAGTCCTGAGGCTTAGGCTTGTTTCTGTTTCCAGGTTTACGATTCAGGTTCAAGGCTAGCGTGCTTACAGCCCCACAACCCTAAACCCCCGAATGTTGAACCCGGGGTGTCGCGTCATGAACGGCTTCAAATTCCGTATTTCATAGCCAATGTTACATGATCTGGAGTTGACTGCTCAGCTCGAGGCTTGCATAAGAACGGTCTTGATCACAGTTGTCCTGTTTGCACTGCTTGTTTATAGAAACCTGCTGAGGAACGTACCTCAACCCGTTTATGTTTTCTGTGTTCGGGTATCTCTGAAAAGAAGAAGGCAGTGCAGCGGGTGACCCATGGCCAACCCAAACCCATCTTCTTTAACGGCTTCATTCGATGCCCCAGCAGGAGAAATCTAGAGTTGAATAAGTAAGGCAGCACATATTTCTACTATGTCTCGAACTTGGGTATTTACAACTTACCTTCCTGATTTCCAACAGTAGTTCGTCCTGGGAAGATCAAGCCTAAAAGCCCTAAATCCCTAAACCCTGAACCGCAAAACTATTGGTTGAAACCTCCTGGCTTGGAAAACCTCTTCCCTAGCCCTGCTGTTTAGGCCCACGTAGCACAACAATCTGCCTTAAATCTGAAACTCTGAATCACAAAACCCTATAAGCCCCGAAAGCCCTAAACCCCAAAGAGGCCCTGTAAACCCTATAGAGGCACTGTAAGAAATAACCCTAGAAAAATCCTTCAAATTCTGTCTACTGCTTTATTTGTTGCTGTACTCGTAAACTTCTTATTGCTGCTACTCTAGCTATTACGAATCTTCGGCCTGAAAGCGCGTGAGGGAGCCGCAAACGAATTGGGCCTCCGGGTCCTGCGAGGCAGCGTGTGGTTTTTCAGGGGCTTAGGGGTCCTTTGGGGTTTAGGCTCTCACAACTCGGAAGGGGTTAGGGGTTGCGGGGTTTTGGGGTTCACGGCTTATGGGTTTTATGGTTTAGGGTTTAAGGTTTTTTGGGGTTTAAGGGTTATAAAGGTTTAGGAGTTTAGGGTTTAGGGGTTGAGGGAATTAGGGCTTCATAGTTGTATGGCTTAGTGTTTCAGGTTTTTAGGGCTTAAGGGTTTAAGGGTTTCCGCACTCACAACTGGGACAAGGCGGGCGAGGTATGTCTGAATGCAGGCGACGAAGGCTCATTGGCCAATGGTTTAGGGTTTTGGAGGTGTAGGGGTTCAGGGTTTAGGGTCTTTGGGGTTTTTGGGATTGAGGGGTTTATGAGATTTATTGCTTTGTGTTTAGGGTGGATTGGGGTTTAAGGGCTTAGGGTTTTGGGGTGTGGGGGTTCAAACCACCCGAGCCCAGGCACATTGCCCAGCCCCCTCGAACAGATTCAGACAGGAGCGGAAACAGGTTTACACTTAAGTCTCAGTTCGACCACTCACGGTGTCAAGGCAACTACTGGCTCGGTTCAGGATGACACAGGAGCATCCAGGAACATCTAATCCAACGAAAATGCTACAGCAACGATCCACCCGAGCCCAGGCACTTTGGCCAGCATCGCACTAATCAAAATCCCAACGAGAGTGACGACCTATCAACCATGGAAGAACCAGTCTCACTGCATCGGCGCCCGGCTTCTTCATCCCACGATGCAAGCAGCTTTACACTAAGTCAAGGGTCTCAGGCGCAAATCTTAAATGGCGGGGCGCTCTGCGAGACTCCGCGCAAGGGCCACGTCCACAACCGGTCTCGCGCACTCGAGTCTACAAAAGTTGAGCCAATCTCAAGGGCAGAGGCTGTTCGGGCCAGATGTTCCTGGTCGCAAAGAGAAAGAGCTTCGACAAACATCACAACGAGCGGTGGCTGTAATCCGACATTTCTTTAACACGGGCTGCGCAATCACACGTGTGTGTGTGTGTGTGTCACTGCGTCTGGTGTGTCTGTGCGCGTGTGTCTTTTCATATTTGCAGCACCACTGCTGCAATGCATCGAAGCAAGAATTCGATGTTTGCAATCTGTACATCTGCCACGTAGGCGCAATGCTCTGTACTTCCGAATTGGGCAGGAACGCCCCTTAACGTTCCCTGCCGCATGCAGTCTCCCAGAAACTTCTCTGCAGGCATCACCAATACACCATGTGCACATCCACGCTTTTGTGGTCCAGCAGCTGACTTCGCCGCTCAAGTTGCACCATGGTCAGACAATACCAGAAGGTGGCCACGATCTTCGTCAGCCAAACCTGTACGAAAGCAAAGAGTACAGCTCCTAGCCAGAAGCTGTAAATTGCACAGGCTATCTGGGAGACGGTGTGCAGACAGCTGAAGCCGAGATACACAGTCACAAATCCACGCTTGAGGTATCTTGCACCGATCAGGCCGCAGATGGGGCCAAACATGAAAACCACTCCAGTGACGATCACTGGCCACGTTCCCCAACTAGGATACCAGGGAAATCCGGCCCTGTTCACTATTGAAGTGACTACGTTCAGCACGATGGTCAGAAGGTTGATGAAGGCAAAGCACATGACAGCCACACGGTAATTCAAGACAACAAGCTCGTCTGGAAGCACTGCGAAGACAGGAGCTGTGGCTGCGAGCTGGGGTGCTCCCAACATTTCGGGACTTAGGCCAACGACTGGGACACCCTGCACAACTGGCATCTCCCCTCGCTCAGCTTGGTTGAGGTCACCCGTCGGCTTGTTCAGGTCACTTCCGCCCATGGCTGTCATCATGGGCTTCTTCAGCAGTGGGCTGGGCTACTGCACGGAAGGTGTGTGCGCTTTCTGCGGCTTTTGACTGGGCCGGAACACGGAAGCACAGGAGCACCGATCAAGTAATTGATGCGCAGACCTGTCCATGCTACTCGTCTAACATCTCTAGCTCCAGACTCGCAGCCATCGTCAAAATGCATGCAATGTCTTGGAAGCTGTGGCGCACTTGCACGTGTCTTGCTGTACCGGGCAGCTGTACATCGAATCACAAGCTTCGCGCGCAAACGGGGTTGGCAGTAGATACTTTGCCAGGCCACAGCTGCGATGCCCTCATGCTGAACTTATGTCAAACTGGGCGAAAACAGAGTCTAAGAAGTCTCGAAGAAGCAGTGCCTCAGCGGAGACTGCGACTTACACCTCGGCCGAGCTTCTCACGTCCGTGCTGAGGTATCGAAGCGGCACTGTCGCAATCTGTACGTTTGCGATTTAGCTGCAAGGCTGGCTTTGCCAAGCTCAACAGTCTGCCAGAACAAAGGGTAAAGCAAAAGCCTCTGCAAGAACTACCAGTACACCATGTGCACCTCTTCGTCCTTCAGTTCCAACAGCTGGCTACGATGCTCACATGGAACTGTGCCCAAACAGTACCAAAAGGTAGCCACGATCTTTGTCACCCAGGCCTGTACGAATGCAAAGAAGATCGCCGAGAGCCAGAATGAAGAGACTGCAAAAGCTATCTGGCTTGCGCACTGCAGAAAGCTGAAGGCGAGATACACAGTCACAAATCCACGCTTGAGGTATCTGGCACCGATGAGGCCGCAGATGGGGCCAAGCATGAAAACCACTCCAGTGACGATCACTGGCCACGTTCCCCAACTAGGATCCCAGGGAAATCTGGCCCTGTTCACTATCGCAGTGACCACATTCAGCACGATGGTCAGAAGGTTGATGAAGGCAAAGCACATGACAGCCACTCGGTAATTCAAGACAACAAGCCACTCTGGTGGCAGTGTGAAGACCGGAGCGGGAGCTGAGGCTGCGAGCTGGGGTGCTCCCAACATTTCGGGACTTAGGCCAGCGACTGGGACACCCTGCACAACTGGCATCTCCCCTCGCTCAGCTTGGTTGAGGTCACCCGTCGGCTTGTTCAGGTCACTTCCGCCCATGGCTGTCATCATGGGCTTCTTCAGCAGTGAGCTGGGCTACTGCACGGAAGGTCTGTGCGTTTTCTGCGGCTTTCGGCCGGGCCCGATTACGGGAGCAAAAGAGCACCGTTCAGGTAATTGATGTGCACATCTCTCCATCCTAATCCCAGTCTCTCAACCCTGACTCTATACACATCCAGATATGAGACCGCGTGACACCATGTTCAATGTCAATGAAGCTGCGGTGCACTCTCACATTTCTTCTGCAACGATAGCTATACATCGAATCACAAACACCATGCGCGAACGTAGCACGCCAGGCCACAGCCAGCCGTGCTGCCCCCATGAACTTACGTCAAGCGGGGCGAAAGCGAAGTCTAAAAACAGTGCCTCAGCGGCAATCGGGGCTCCGATGTCGACCGAAGCTCTTTACATGTGTGCCAAGGTATCGAAGCGGGACTGTCGCACTCTGTACATCTGCGAAATAGCTGCAAAGCTGGTTTTGCCATGCGCAACACGAAACAATGGGTGAAGCAAAAGCCTCTGCAAGAACTATATAAACCCTAAACCCTTACCTACCAGTACACCATTTGCACCTCTTCGGTCTTCAGCTCCAACAGCTGGCTACGATGCTCACGTGGAACCGTGCCCAAACAGTACCAGAACGTGGCCGCGATTTTCGTCACCCAGGCCTGTACGAACGTAAAGAAAATCGCGGACATAAAGAATGTCGAAACTGCAAAAGCTATCTGGCTTGCACAATGCAGAAAGCTGACGCCGACATAAGCAGTCACAAGTCCACGCTTGAGGTAACTGGCACCGATGAGGCCGCAGATGGGGCCAAGCATGAAAACCACGCCCAAGACGATCACCGGCCAAGTTCCCCAACTAGGATCCCAGGGAAACTTGGCGTTGTTCACTATTGCAGTGACCACATTCAGCACGATGGTCAGAAGGTTGATGGAGGCACAGCACAGGACAGCCACTCGGTAGTTTGAGACAACAAGCCACTCCGGGGGCCGTATGAAGACAGCTGGGGCTGCGAGCTCAGGTGCTCCCAAAATGCCGGGACTTGGGCCAACGACTGGGACACCCTCGGCAACCCTCATCTCCCCTCGCTCAGCTTCGTTGAGGTCGCCCGTCGGCTTGTTCAGGTCATCTCCGCCCGAAACCGCCATCATGAGCACCGAAGCGTCTTCAAATTCTGTGGCTTTCGCGCACCGAGCTCTAGAATCTCGAACCAGTTCAGATGCTGGCTTCCTCTGGGTACCAGGACCCTCCTTAAGGCTCCTCAAGCCGGGGCTATGGTGCCAAACAGTGGGTATTTCGGATCTCAGGGGAGGGTCCAGGTATGTCCAGGCACCTTGTCTGCAGTTTTATGGGTCTTCTCCTACCATGTGACTGCTTGGCAAGGTTCTGGGGGTGCACGCGGCCTGCTGCACCACGTAGCCCTGCACTAGATTTCGGAGCTCCTGGCACATGGGTTTAGGGCATTTTTCCCCTATCGCATTGCAGAGATCAAAGCTAACAGCGAGGTTACATAGGATCCGCCATGGCAAGACTTTGATGACATAAAACAAGGCAGGTTTAGGGCATTAGGGTTTGGGGCTTAAGGAATTAAGGAAATTTAAGGGCTAATGGTATAGGGACTTCAGTTCTTGCCTGATTAGGCCCGCCTACATGGGACTGAAAGCAAACGAACGGCAGTTCAGGATGTAAAGGACCTACAACTCTAGAACTCTGACCAAAGAAAGCCTCGAAGCTGATAAAACCAACTATTGGCCGAAGGCAACTTCTTCGATGCCAGAAAGAGAAACCGTTTTTTGAAACGCTCACCAGAAAGGACATGCCGTTTCAGAGCAACTCGCAGGCAATTGCAAAACCGTGGCTGGCACAACGCCTATTGCCTATTCGTGCCCTGTGACAGTGTTTCTGTTGGGCAGCATTTCTGGCCGTTTACTGTCATTTTGTCATTTGTCCATTTGTCTCTTGTGCACTTTGACAAAGGATTGACTCTGGCTAAAGCCAAGGCGATGCCTATCGAGTACTATTCGTGCTGTCGTTGCTCTTGCTCGGTCTGGGGCCAGCGAAGAAGCATCCTGCATCTTATAATGTTGTCTGGTATTCGAGCGAAAACAACAATGATGATGATGATGATGGTGATGCTGGTGCTGGCGCTGGTGCTGCTGCTGGTGGTGGTGGTGTTGGTGGCGGTGGTGGTGGTGGTGGTGGTGGCGGCGGCGGTGGTGGCGGTGGCGGCGGCGGCGGTCAATCGGAGTGCGACTGGTTACGCACACACTAGTCCGGTGCCTTCTTGTCTTCATCCGTCAGCGTTTCTGCCTCAGCTAATGGGCTGTGCGGTGCCGTTGGCGCACAATTCACTGAAGGCGCAGGCTAGAAAGGCGCAGGCGATCCAGTCGAGCCAGGCCAGCAAACAGCTTGTGTGGTTGCGCCGGCTGCGTTGTGGAGGAGTCCGGGCATACTCAAGACAGAGCTGCAGGCATTTTGCTACATTGAGACTCGCGTATGCTTTAGGTCCTCATAGGCGTAAAGTGAAGGGTTGAGGCAGAAGTTCAAATTCAATAAAGGATTGGAATTCGAGTTTATGCCTTTTGACTGTTCCGAAACTGAAGTAGCATCAACTCCTCCCTGAAGTTCTGAATGTCAACCGCTAAACCCTAAACCCTGAACCTTAAAGGCTAAACGCCGATACACCCTACAGCCTGGACCCGGTGGATGACATCGCAATGCGCGTGAGACGCCCCCCCCCCCCCTCAAGCCCCTACTCGCAAGCACAAAACCACCCCAAGCTCAATATAACATAATCCAACATAACCTAACCTGATCTAACATAGTACAATAGGTCATTTTATAATATAACCCAACATAATGTAACCTGATATAACATAATATAATAAGTCATGCCACGGTTCTGTTATGCTTTATGAAAATGTGCCACTCTACCTCTCCGAGCTTGGGTCGCCCGGCATTCTCGTCCCCATTGAGGAGCGTCAGCTCATCCTTGTGACCATGGCTTCGGGTTTAGGGTTTGGGGTTTAGGGGTTAGGGTTTAGGGCACGCTGCTGTCTACTCCCAGGGGTGTCCAAAATTGGGACCCTTTATTTTGGGTGCGCTTTTTAGAAGGGTGCCGTACCAGTTTTGGGCCCTAAAGAGGGACCCTAACTCCGAGAACTACCCACATCCTTCTAGATTTAGCTAAGCTCGACAGAACTGTCCTGATCTGCAACCCATCGAAGCCAAATTTTCTGGAACCCGGAAATCGAGGCCTACCGCCCGCCCAAGGTGCTGCACTGCAACGAAGAGCCTAAGTTTAGCCTTGGCCAGCAGCCCCAGCTTCCTCCCTCCGTGCCATTGAGCCTTTGAACTCTTTTCTTACCCAGTTCTCCAAAGGGAAACCAACAGGTCAAGCTTTATCATGATACTCGGAGCTATTCTCTACCTGCAACGAGGCTAAAGTGTACTAAAGGCTACCGACGACTCGCCTTGCAACTAGCAGCTGGCAAGTTTGGTATCACCGGCCTTGAGCTCCGCGACTTCCTTCTTCAAGCGGCGGATGAGCAAAGAAGGGTCCAATTCCTGCGGGGTTTCGACTCACACACTCGCACAAGGCTGGCATGGGGGGTTTAGGGTTTAGGGCCCGCTTGATGCTGACAAAGAAAGCAAGCAAGCGAGTCTTGCGGCAGACTGTCACAGGCTTCGTCGGCGCCGAGTATCCTAAGCAGCACAGGCCTCGTTGACGGTTGCATTGTTCTTAATCGCCGCGACCCGCTGAGCAAACCGGCACGTGGAGATTGACCTTTGGAGGCAGTCAAGGCAAGAATGCTGATTACGAGCAGCCGATACTCGATGTTCTAGAATGTATGATTTCCCACGCACGTGCGCGTTCGCTGCGCATGCCCGGACAGTTGAATCGACTGAACAGAGGGGAAAGCTTGCTGAAAAAGGTTGATCTCGAGCCTATCGGCTTCGAGTAGATAAGAGGTCGCGTAGCCCTCCCCCCAAACCACATGGTTGAGGCTTCAAATGTGTTTGGAATTCGTTGAAGCTTTGGATGCTCGACCTGGAGCCTTAGGGAGGATGAAGATATCGAATTCATACGTTTTCGTAGCGGGTGCAGTGAGAGCCCAACAGTGAATGGTACTTTGATCAATAAAAAGCCAAGAAGTATGTACAAACATGCGGCTCAAAACAACAGCACCACGTCAAATATGATGCCTATGCTTTTGTGTGACATCCGCTGGAACTAAACAGGATCTGCGCTTTAGGCTTTAGGGTTTCTAGCCTTTGAAGAGCCTGCTGCTTGACAGTCAGTTTGGAGATAGGCATCATTGTCGAGACCAAACATGGCTATGGGACCTGCTAGTTGCTCATATGCGTCAGCATATGTCTCCAGCAACCAGTCGGATTTGGGGCGACCTACCCTCCCCTAAAGCCCAAACCCTCCTGGTCAAAACAGTCCTGGGCCTCAGGATGTCGGAATGAAAAACCACTCGCTGTAACGGGTCTGATCTTGATGATCTCAGGATCTGACCACAGAGCCTCAGTTTATCCTTTTCCCATGTGTCACCGAAGTGCACAAAGTTACAGTGAGAGATCTGGCCTATTTCCTGGTACATCCGCTGATTGGTTTGCACTCTTTAGAAACGTGGGTGCCATTCCTAGGATGCGTCTCAGGCTTTTGTTTTGAAGTGCATTTAGTTTTTTAAACTTCATTGTTCGTCTGTCGTATACAGTCAAGCCCATACAAAGTTTTGATCTTATAGTTGCATCAAACACTTGGATTTTCCAGTTGATTGATGTGTTAGCTTTTTCCCAACGATCTTAAGTCGATTGCACGTCGCTATAAATCTCCCAATCTGTTGGCTGTTCCCGCCTTATTTTCGAACGTGTCAGTGAGTAAAGTGCCGAAGCATGTGCCTGATCTCTGTCTTGGGACTAGTGTTCTGAGTCTTCTTGCAGCTGGTCCATCGGAGAAAAGTACTGATAAACTCTTTGGTTTGCTGTTAGCTTCACGCATTTCCCATAGTTCAGGCTAACCCATAGCACGCTCTATGCCATTCAATTGCATGCCATAGCTTGATAATAAACTGTACATAGTTCCATTTTAATGTCTGCAAACAGAGCCCCCAGAACTAGCACAAACAAGTAAGGTGAATGAGGACATCGCTGCCTTATGCCAGAATATTGACATTTCCATTCAGACTCGTTGTTGCCGGAGCATACTTTGAATTGAGGATTAGCATAGAAGTCTTTAATATACGATATATAATATGTAGTTAATATATACATATAATATAGCAGACATACATACATATATATATATACACACATATACATATATAGACATATACATATACATAAAGACGTGCATTCTATGATATATCAGGTTCTACAGCATGTTAGAAGGGAAATCCGAAAGCGCTCCGGCACCTAATCTCTGGGCTGTGATGGGTTTGGGGCTTGGGAGCCTGGAGCCACTGCTAGCCAACAAGACAACAACGACAACAACAGCAACAGCAACAACAAACACCACAACCGCTAGAACAACCATATTCAACTGGCCCCTAAACCCTGAGCCCTGAACCCTTTTTAAACAGATTTGTGCATGCCCGCCTGGATCTCGGAGCCAGAGCTGCCACACTCATGGCAGGAACCGTAAGCATCTGAAACACCTGAATGAACTCTGAACCCTCAACCCTGGCTCCAACCCATCCCCCCAAGAGCACAGGGTGTTTCCACTATGGCTGCGGCTCCTCCAGGTGACGGTCTTCGATAGCCGCAGTGCCGACCATGACGGTCTTGCAGTTCCCACCTCTTTAGGGATTTCGACTCGCACGCTCGCACAAGCAGGCACGGCTTCCAGTAGTCCAGCACTCACGACAATTCAGCCAAGTGCGACGGCAGGGCTTAGGGTTTACCGACCTTGAAACGAACCGGGACTGCGAAATCAGAGGTGTGCAGTGATTATCAAGCCAAGGCCCGATGTGACGAAGCTCTTGGCTAAAAGCAACCGTGGCCCTAAACCCTAAGCCCACGCAAGCACCAACAACTCTGGTTATCGTAGAACTGTTCAGGAATGCATGGTGAAAGTATCTGCACATGGTTTGAAGGCCAACCGCAACACGTCTTCTACACATGAGGCGATAACTCACTAATGGCCTGTGTTCCAGTGCCTGTTTCTGCCTGTACCATGACAACCACACGCAATATCAATATGATGGTTCATGGGTCATACTAGTACGCTTTATTCTTAAAACCTGACGATCTATGAGCTTTATATCTGGCACAAATCATACTTCAGGCCAGTCGCACTGGCTTCAAGACAGTCTGAAGCAGCCGAACATATCAGCCGCTTCTTGCAGGGTGATCACAGACAGGGAGTTGGATTCGGATCCATGGTTTGAAGGCTCAGGCTTTATACGATCCCCGTATGGAACCCTAACAAATGTTCCCTTTGCGGGAATCTCATATAAAGAAATTAGGGGTTATTACAGATTCGAAGAGAGGGTTTGCTTTGGCTTTCTTGGAGCCCCAAGAACTTCAAATCTCGAAGGCACGTGCCAACCCTGCACCCAACCCGTTCAGCAGCTAAGCAAGTCAATTCTTGTAGGCTCTGCGCCTTCAGAAACTCGTGACAGGAGTTAACCCTAAACCCTAACCTCAAGCCCTGATATACTCCAAACCCGGGCCTCAAGCCGAAACCAACCTTGACTTAGGGCTTATAGGGTTTAGGGGGTTTCAGCACTCACAACTGGGAGGGTTTAGGGGTTTAGGGGGTTTAGGGCCCTAAACCCTAAACCCTAAAAACCTTAACCCTAAACCCTAAGGTTTAGAGTCCTGAACACTCAACCGGAAAGGCCCAGCAAAGTGGCAAAGACCTGGGGCCCGAACCGAGGGAATCTCGAAGGACGGACGTCATCATGGAATTCCTCCCGGAGCTAGGGTTTCGACTCTCACTCTCGCACTGGGCAAGGCAAGGCTCCACACAATTCCGTCACGCCAAGAAAGCCCGAGCGATGTAGTCTGCGACCAAAGACCATCTAAAACCATTACACGCATTCATATGGTCCCTTGCTCCTGGCTTTCCACAGCAGAGCTATTATTCTGCTCTCTGCTAAGTGTCGTAAGCTAGCGTACAGCTACAGGACTCAAAATAATATGGCCCCAATGGAATAACGAAAGACCCAAAGCCCAATCACCAAGGAAGCGCATGGAAACATGACAAAGCAAGAAGGAATAAACCAACAACCACTGCCATCGTGACTGCAGATTGAAAAGTCACCACATAACGAGATCACAGCATGCAACGACTTAGATACTGTACAACGTCATCTGGACGCCAAGTTTACCGTCGTTGTGCCATGCATCAAACATCATGCTGTCGTATCTCCCAGTATGTGACACACGAATGTACCACGACCAACATGCTCCAAATTTGAGCAGGAATAGTCATGCAGCTCGGTCTGGACAAGCAGAGATCTCATCACATGCAGTTCGGACCATCGAAGTGTCGGACGAACAATATATAGGTATTCACATGCATATCACGAAAAAGACCTGCACCAAGCTGGGGTTTTAGCTTTAGGGTTTAGGGTTTGGCTGTTTCAGGGCAGTTTAAGGTGTTGGGGCACTCCACTACGTATGGATGTTCATGGGAGGTTTTGGGGAGAGCGTCAAACAAGAGCTCTCATGCTAGAATCTGCTAGAAGGTTTTTTGGCCAAGCAAGCAAGGGAAAAGACCCGTTCGAGCAGGCGCTTGACTTGAGCCAGTCCTGTACGGCACATGGTGGCGGGCTCCAGATGAGCGCTCGTGCAAGGCCACGATGACTTGCTCCAGGTAGTGCCTCGGGGTTTAAGGGAGCCAGCCTGAACCGTGAGCGTGGACGACATCGGCGTTTCGGCTCTCTACTTTACATCTACCCTCCCTCCCTCCCGCTCTGGATCTCGATCTTCTTCCACACAAATAAACAACAAATGGCAGTGCTCTCGCGCTGCCCCATTTCCCCGCCCTGGATCGATATCTCTCTCTCTCTCTCTCTCTCTCTGTCTCTCTCTTCTTCTCCCAGGCAAGGCCCGGCTTTCTCGCTGTACTTGGGACCTCTAACAACCCCAAACCGGACTCGTCCCGAGTCCCGTGTTTCAGCCGTGCGGAAATCCCCCCCCAAAGTCGGCCCTGGGCCCTGGCAACCACGAAGTAGGGTTTTGGGTTTAGGGGTTTAGGGTTTAGGGTTTAGGGTTTAGGGCGTAACAGACCAAACCAACCCTTTCTGCACCTGGGCTGTCCTGACTCAAGCAAGAAGCGGCCAGTCCTTCTCGCTCTCTCTATCATTGTCTCTGTCTGCCTTTCTTTGAAAAAGCATATAAATCGGTAAGAACAAGCCTGTACCTCATTCGAGACATTCAAAACAAGCCCTGGTGTAAGTTTCAAGGCGTCTTCAGTGTTGAATCCTCGGGCACTGCAAACTTGTTTCCCAAAACTAGCACGTTGCATAGCTGCAACTCTGCTACGAACTATAGATGCAGTGCCTAAAACTCTGAACCTGCACACGGAAGCCTCCGGTCGCTGAGGTACCAGCAAGGACAGGTTGATGTAGCGGGCCTCCTTCTGTAAGTCGCCCTCAACCTGGAAGAGATTAGGGTTTAGGGCCCTGCACCCCAAACAACCCAACCATTTTGAGGACTTTTGTAACGAAATCCTCATAGCGAGATCAAACGAAGGTTTTATTGGGCCCAGGTAGGGTCTTTATTTGGGGTTCAGAGTTTCGAGTACCGCTCTTTCCACAACCAATACGTCCCATCAAGCAGGTTTGTACAGAGAAGCACAGACTGGGGCTTTGGTTTCTTTGTAGATCCAGGAAATGTAAGGTTTCGGGTTTAGGGTAGAGCACTTGCCGATGCTTGAAGGCTCTGAAGCTACAACCAGATCGGATTATCATGTGTATCACTTTCGAGAGCAAGTGAATCTTGCTTCGCCAAGCCCGAAACCCGGTCTAAACAACAATACGGCTTGGAATTGTTGAATGGTAGGTCCCGTTACCTCGTTTAGGTATCTTGACAAACAGAAGCCTGTCCGTGCGACAGTATCTCATAAGTGTAGGTTCTGAAGGTGCCACCCAAGTCAACCTGACACAGAAATCTGTTCACTCGTAGCTGCGCTCCTACAAAACTAAGATACACGGCAGTACAGCATCCTCATGTTGGGCCCTGCCAACTGCAAACGGGTGCGGTCCAAAGCAGGAAACACAGTCGGAAACACACGAAACAAGTGTCTAGCTATCAACTTGGTTAGGTTATGTTCCGAATCCATTCCGTATCATGGGCTTTCCAAAGTTCTATACACTGGCATCAGGGTACGAACCTGTAACACCCATGCGTTCCGAAAGAGGTGGAGCTCTCCCGGGCATTCTTAGAGGATTCTGAGAACCTATATTAACCCAAAGTGTGCAAAGCACCTATATAGTAGAATGTAGGGTTTCTTATTAGGAATTACTATTATGATTTGGGGAAGTATGCCCCCATAACAATACCTAGGACCCTTTGGGTAAAGGAAACTACAGGTGGGGAGTTTAGGGTATATAGGCTTCTATAAGGCTTCTAGAAGGTATATAGACCTTCTGTAAGGCTGCCATAACGATAACTGCCCACCTGAAAATGTCCTAGATGGAGATACTTTCCCAAACCGTAATGCCATAATAGCAATTCCTCCGACAGAAACCCCACCTTATACAAGTTTATGGAAATATACTTAGGACCCTTTAAATGGGAAGATCACAAGTGACGAAAAGACAACGGCGGACTCCTTCTGTCGTCCCAAGCCCCGCAAAACCAAGCAGCCTGAAAAACCCCAAAGTCGCAGACTCCCGCAGCCCCGGAAAGCAAAAAGGCCCTTGAAACAAGCCCTACCCATAGGCCCCCAAGTAGTTCCTGTTTTGGGATTACCTTATAGGATTCTAAATCTGAGCCATAAAAAGGAACTACTTATAAGGGCCTATGGCATGGGTAAACCCTGAAACTCCAAGCAGCCCTAAGCTGAGGCTCCGGCACCACTCTTGGAGATACGTTCGCTTCCAGCCTTGTGGCTCTTTAGGCACTACCATTATGGCTCCCTTCATGCGGGGTCCTGCTGGTGGTTGCGGGATTGAGCGGTCTAGAGCAGTAGGGGTTTAGGGCCAGTGATGCTCCTGAACTATACTGATGTTTGCGTTCCGACTGAGATCGCCACCCCAATACTCCCCACGAAGGTGGACAGCTATGACCTCTTCTGGGCTTATGAGGATTTTCCCCTGCCTTTACTTGCTAGGTCAAGTGTCCAAATCACATGCGATCCAGTGGCACCCTAAGCCCAACCTGCGTTTGAAGAGGAATGGCGAGCATTCCTGTCATCTGTCTGAGGGTCGTATGATTGACCATTAAGTTCCCTTCTCCTGTCCCTCATGAGACCCATAATTAAAGAACTCGGCACACCCATACCCCAAACCCTAAAACCCCCAAAGACACAGACCCAAAAACGCAAACCTCCTCATACCGGTGTTGAGTCGAGCAGCAAGATCCACCAGGTGTAGTTTGGCTCTGCGCACCTGACTTAATCTTAGGACTTAGGAATCTAGGGTCCTGGGCTTCATGTTGCTAAGGATGAAGGTTTGGGGCTGTTAGGGTTCTGAGTTTAGGGTTTGGGGGTGAGGCTTTAGGATTTGGTGTTAAGTGTTTAGGATACTAGCTGCGAGCTTCTGTAATCGAAAGTCAGTCAAAGATCTGGCTTTTGCGGTTCTCTGGAGCCCGCCTTGCAATTTCCTGCTGCGTTCGGGGGGGCCTAACATTGGCATTCTCGTGCTCGAGGAAACTCACCCCAGCCTTCGGGGCAAGTTAACTTCTGGGTTGCTTGGACCGGGATCAACTTGGGCGAATAAAGGAAAGTCTTAGCTCTTTCCCACTTCTTTCTCGGAGAACACCTAAACCGAACCCTGATTTTCGCGCCAAGACCTGCCTTGCATTATATTTGCTTTGGGTAGTTCTCTAAATTAGGATCTTTCTACGGTCCTTTACATAAGGGTGCCGCACTATGCTGGGGTTCCAAAACAAGGGCCCTAATTTAGATAACTACCCATATAGAACCCTGATAGCACTCTTATCAAAGCCGCATAGAAACCCTTATAGATCCCTTTAACGGAACCCAAAAGGGGGGCCTAATTTAGAACTATATACCCACATGACAGGGAAAGCCAACAAGTGCCAGCAGGCTCTGCTCGCTTGAGGCATTGGCTGTGTCAGAGTTCGCCTGTGTCGACTCGACCCACATGATGAACCTTAGGTCTCTAGGGTTTAGGGTTTGGGGTTTGGGCTTAGGGTTTGGGACCCACATGATGAACCTTAGGTCTTTAGGGCTTTTTCCCTCCCACTTAGCAAGGACGAGCCCAGCTTTAGGGTTTAGGGTTAAGGGTTTAGGACCCACATGACGAACCTCGGCATGGCACACACACATGTAAGGTGAGGCAACATCAGATAACCATACATACATATAAAATATATTATATATATAATATATATATAATATATATATATATATATTATATATATATAATATATATATATATACATATGTCAAAGACCACAAAGCAACAATAAACTAGAGCATAATATCGTACAAGGTAAGATAAGACCAGTCCGGATAAGCTCATCTAATCTGCTGCTCAAATGTGGCTACAACAATTTCAATGCCACCAACAAATGCAACATGAAATAATTCAACGTACTACTCAATTCCTTAGTAAAATCCCACAAAGCACAATACAGCATAACCGAACATAGTAGGTTTTATACACGTCCCACAAAGCACAATACAGCATAACCGAACATAGTAGGTTTTATACACGATAGCCCAGTATGAGGTAACATACAATCAAAACATCTAACCTAACCTGGTCTAAACCAATCCAACATTATAAACAAAACATCATCCTCTTAGTAGATAGTGAGATGTTGTGCAGCAAAACATGACATTATATACTACTATATGATAAGGTCAGACATAGGGTCGATCAGGTAAGATATCAAAACAACTTAACCTAACCTGACCTTAATCTGGAGATAAGAGTTCTAAAGGAAGTAACATGATATAATACAGCGTAACCTGTAATGCGATTTGGTATTATATAAAATAACATAATGCATTAATAAAGCATAGTAGATTACAAGATACCATGACAAGTAGTATGATATACCACGCTATACTGTACAGTATAATTATTTAGTACAACATGATAGACACAAACCGTTACAGTAAAACACAACACAAGTTCATTATAATGTAATGTACTATCAGGTGGTGTAATGTAACCTAATATAAAATAACACATCACAGCGTAACATAGCATACCATAATAAAATAACAACATGATAAGATGCAATATGGCATGTTATGTCCACACATAATTGCATAGAGAAGCATATAGCATAGTAGACGGTAAGGCAAGGTAAGGCAAGATAACAGAAGATAACAAGCCTTCTCCCACAGCACGAGCGCATGGTGTGGTAGGCAGTCACTCCAGGCAAGCATCGCCTTAGACACCCTGGAGCTCCCCAAACCGCCCGGAGCCTCGGTCTGCCTTGCCGAAACGGTGTTTTTAGGGTTTTTTCCCCTCTCGCATAGCTAAGGATCAAAGCCCACAAGCGAGGTTTTTTAGAGTTTAGGCTTTAGGGTTGAGGGCGACTTTCACTCTGAGGTTCTGGCATGCAGTGGCTTCCTCGGGGCAGGCATCAGGTTTTCGGGTTTGCAATGCTGGACTCCCGGATGCAGATCTAGTGCATGACTGCCTCTTCACTCTGCCAACCCTGCTGATTACGATACAAGCATCTGGTAGACACATCGTTCATGGGCGTCTCCGCGACGACTCTGTTCGTGTCCCCGAGGAAGAGCAAGTTTAGCCTTCCAGCAACTTGCTGCGCTTCTGGAACACCTAGAGACCCAGAGACTCCAATATCACTTTCTGAAAGGGACCCTCCCCTAGGAAAATACTAAGATTTGAGTATTCGACTTCCTTGATGAAAGGTGTCTTGCCGTGTGCGGGTACAGGGTACGGTGTTAGACTTTGTTTCCCCCCGGACATCTCATGTTCCAAGGGCCTGAAAACTCCAAAGCGGTTTCCGCGGAGGGATGGGTATATGTGTATGCGCATACGCATGCCTTGCGTGTAGAAACGACGGGCTTGCTGATATGACTGTAGCGGCCAGGAGCCTCAAACCAAACACTCTCCCACGGGCGGGCCAGGTCTCTCCATCCATACACAGCTTAGAGCCCTGGTCATGTCTCCATGCTCTTCTCTACTATCCGATAACGCCAATGGTAAAAGTTATGGTAACAGTAATGAACATTGAGGTTGTTCTGAATGCCAGAAAATGCAGAATCCGGACATGGTTTCCGGAGACGACTTTTCACCACAACGAACGCTTCGCGAAGAAGCGTAGGGTCTGCATCTCTCCTTGAGCGAGGACGACTTGCCTCTATAACACGACTGCGACTCGAGCATACCTACATAATCACCACCCGTCGGTCCATCACAGAGAACATCAAACAAAGTGTTCGCATTGGCCGAGCTGCGCATCTTCCTCCTTCTGAGCCATGTTCACGGACAGGTTGCGGAGATGGATGTTTCCATCCTACTTTATGAACTGGGTGGAGGTAGGCAGGCCACAACTGCGAGCACTCCAATTGAAACAACTGCAATGTGTGGCTTGAGTTACCAGAGGCGACTTACCCAAACATCAAGAGCGCTATACTATACCTAATTTTGCAGCAGAACGCGATGCAGGGGATCAGAACACAATCACTAAACTCAGTCGATCCTTTGCTAAACAACCTTGCCTCGTCTCCAACCCTCTATGTGTTTGAGGGCCATGCTATGCTCATAACTTCAGAGCTCTCGTCGTACTACAGGGGTGTTGACATTTTTTCGAGGGTTTGAGGTCTTCTACGTAGTCTAGTCATGTAAAGGGACTATAAGGAGACATCACTACTAATTGTTCGGGCCTCCACAATCTTTGTCGATAGAAGACCCATCTATGAGCTGGTGAAAGCCCAGATCCTAAAGCCCCAAGAGAGAGCGAGAAAAGAGCTAGGCACATGAGACACCGCCCTTTGCTTGTCCTCGTCCTCTCTGAGCTGCACTTTGGGGAGGTCCTCTTCAAGTCTTCAAACTTTGCCGCGACAGTATATGACTACCGACTGTGTTCACAACTACTACTAGGCTTAGGTTTTTCGTCTTGGTGGTAGCACAGTGTCTAGACTACTACTGTCATACCACGATTGATGCTGCTGTTCTTCTTATCCTTGCTGTTTCGGTCTCCACCAATGGTGGTACCCATGTCTCAGTTTTCAGTTTCACTACCTGCCTTCCAATTAGTGCCAGTGTTAATTTTGCTCCTCGAGTGTTAATCATATTCCTGATTGTTCGGTTCACTTGCATCGGAATGACTAGCCGTTTAGTCATGACGAACTTCTGATATGCCACAAACATTAAACCCGACATAGTAAACCGAAGGCTACCCATTCGGCTCAAAGTTGCCGTATCATTTTCCCTTTCCAGCACGAGCAATACTGAACATACAGAAAACGGCACAAAGCAACAATCCTAGTGACAGTGATTGAACCTTTCACACATGGGGATGGATCTCAAAGCTTGGCGGCTCCAGGCGCGGCTCAACTGAACGAAGCACACACACCTCACAAAACCCTACGCGACGTGCTAATCGTAGATGTCCATGCGCCAGTTTGGATGCCCAGGTGTAGGGCACCCATGGAAGCCAAAAAGAGACAGCCGTGAGGAGCCATTTTCTGACTCGCTTCTCGCCGTGCTTGCTGCTCATGGGAGAACCTGTCTGAAAGTGCCCGCTTGTCCAGCACACAAGCTATAAATCTTTGCATAAGGCATGACCCTCAACCCTAAATCCCAAGCCCTGTCGAGTTTCAGATCGAGGGTGGATGCTGCCTGGTTCCGAAGTGGAGACGCTGGAAAGAGCTGGCACATACGGAATAGAAGCACGTGAGTTGACTTGGGAGTTTCAGAATAAAAGCAGCATTTCACGTGAATCCTAAGTAAGGTTTTGGGGTTTAGGGTTGAATATGACGACCCGCAAATAAGGGAAATTTAGGAACTCCCCCCATTTCATGTGCTCAACTTGATCCCTCCCGAGGGATGCCTAGACTCCAGCACCGGTTGGCCTTCGGCCAACAGGAGAGAAGCACCCAAGCAAAGTAGGCTTCAAGTTCTCGAAATTAGTTTCTGTGACTGCTGGTATCATTGTCATGTAGTTTAGACGGACCTCTCTTTTTGATTGAACCTGCACTGAGGCCGATCCTAAACCCCGAAACTATCACTAAAAATCCTTAACCGATAAGTCCTCTTGGTTTCTCTGGGATGTATCCCAGCTCGAAGCTCCAGGAGCGAACACTCATCGCGGACCCCACCGCCACCCGAAGCAGAGGTTTCAGGCTTTCGATGGCCACTGCGTGAAGTGCAGACTCTTCAAAAATTGCTCGTGTCGAAGCTTCAGCGTTCCGCCGTAGCTTTAAGTCCGCTCTCTC